CCCCCAAGACCGAATTGTCTGAGAGCAACTAGGAAAGAAACATTTTTGGGGGGTGGGGGGAGGGTTTAATAACGGGTTTTGCTGACCCTGTTCTTGATTTCCCAGCAGCCTCTCCACAGTTGGGGGGATGGGTGCTCTGGGTGCCCTTAAAAGAGAGGAAGCCTCAACCACAGCCCCCTTTCTCCTCCCCCCCCTCTCTCTCTCACACACACAGACACACAGACACACACACACACACACACACACACGGCTTCTGCAGAAAGTTCTTCTGCAGGTTTCGCAAGGGGAAAGTTCTCATTCCTCCCGATTGGACGGCCGTTCTTCCGAAAGTGGCTTTTATTGTTCTCTTGCCGCCTTTTGTTGCTGTTGCTGTTGCTCTTCTTGGATTGTTGCCAACTGCCCGGAATCCTGACGGTTGGAGGGATGAAACAATGACAATAACCCCCCCATTTCATTGTTTTGGTCAGGAAAGAAAAGGCAGCCGGAAGGCAAAGCCCGGCGGAGCTCCCAAGTGGGAGGAGTGCTGGACGGTCGCCGCGGAACCGACCGGCCGGCCGGGGGTGGAGTGGGGGGGCTCCAAGGGGGATGGGACGCCCTGCAACCCGGGCTGGGGCAGACCCCGGGGCCGAGGGAAGAAGCAGGGCCGGCCGGGATCCCGCAGCCCCTCCGCCGCAGCGCCAAGGCGAGCGGGTGCCGCGTCCCACCCCACCCCCGCGGGCAGAGACTTCAGTCAGAAATGCTGTAGTAGGGGGTTGGACTAGATGACCTCCAAGGTACCTTCCAACTCTGTTAATCGGAATCAACCTTCCCCGACCAGAGACGGGCGGATTTCCCCCACCCCACCCTCATCTCCCCCCTCCCTAAGGAGTTCCTTCTTCTCCTCCCCCTTTTCTCCCCCTCCCCACCCCCCCAGGGGAGACCCGCCGAGAGGCTCCAACCCGGCGCGACGAAGGGAGGCCGGGCTGCTCGTACCCCGCAGCTGGGTGACCCTCACCCCGCGGCGGGCCAGCATTTTGGAGCAGCGGGTCTTGCCCGCCTCCAGGGTGGGGACTGTGGAAAGGGAACTTCATGAGGACAGTGGTGATACCCAAGCAGGAAGAGCCCAAAGGGAACATCAGGCTAGCCGTAAAAGCAAACTTGCATAGGAAAAGAGATTTGATAAAAGGTATTGAAAGAAGCCCCCTAGACAAAAGCCAAGTAATTAAAGCTAGGGAAACAAGAAAAACAAATCCCTTACAAACAAAAGGCCATGCCAAATCAGCAAAACAAATAAGACAAAAGACCCATAGCAGACAGGAGATTGCCACTAAACAAATATAAGAAATGAAACTAATAATCCAATCAAACCACCCCGCAGAGTTTACCCTCTGACGGAACCCCCCCCCCTGACAGGATTTAAGCACTCACACACAAAAGGAGAAAAGGTATAAAAATCAGGAGTTTATTACACAAGGCTGGCTAGCCCCAGGAACGCAGACTTCTTGCTATCTCTTGCCTTCCTGAAAATTAAAGGAACCTGCTTACAAGCAGCTGCCTCTGTTTGTGTCCTTACTCTGGAGCACTCCCAGCAGGAAAAAAAAAGAACCCTTGGAAGAAAGGCATTTGCCAGCCTTTCAACAGGACAAATGTCCCGCTCCTCCTCCCCCCCTCCTTCCCCTCCCCGCCCCTGGAGCCACAATGGTGGGGGGGGCTTCTGGAGGGGTCCATCTACAGAGGGGCGGCGGGTTGGGGGTGCCCGAGGAAAGGAGGGCGTTCCCCGCAGGGTTGGGGGTTTGCAATACCGGGGAGGGAGGAGGGGTGGTGGTCCTGGCGTGGGGAAGGGTCTCCACCAGCGCGGAGCCTTCCCGGTTCTGGGAAGAAACGGCTGGGGACTGCGGGAGACCCATTTTAACAGGTTAACAGAGTTGGAAGGGACCTTGGAGGTCATCCAGTCCAACCTCCCCACCCACGTAGGAGATGCTACCACACCATTTCTGACAGAGATGGCTGTCCAGCCTCTTCTTGGAAACCTCCAGGGATGAAGCTCCCACAACTTCCGGAGGCCACTCCTGTTCATTTTTGAGGGGTTTCCCCCAAGGAATCCCAAGCCTCTTTTGAAAAACAGGGAACTTGGGGGGGGGGGGGAAGGGGGGGGAAGATGCCCAGGCAAACTGCAGGTAGTCCTCAACTTACAACAATTCGTTTAGTGGCCGTTCAATGTTAAAAATGAGAAAAGCGACTGGCAGCGTGGCCTTGGTCGGGGGGCGATCAAAATTCAGCCGCTTGGCAACTGGTTTCGCAGTTATGACGGTTACAACATCCCGGGGGGAGGCGACGCGATCCCCTTTTTCGACCCTCGGACCAATAAATGGGGAAGCCAGATTCCCTTAGTAACCAGGTTACTTTTGGGACGTGCAGCCCTTCACTTAAGAAAGGGGGTCAATGGGTCGCTCCGATTCATGGAATAACCATGGGGCTACCTCTCACAACTGCAAGGGATTCACTTAAAAACTACGGCGAGGAAGTTCGTAAAAACGGGGCAAAACTCATTTAATGACCATCTCAGAAATGTTGGGCTCAATTCAGAGGTGGTCTTCAGCCGGTTCGGACCAGTCCTGGAGAACCGGTAGCAGAAATGTTGAGTCCTTCGGAGAACCGGCCAACCCCACCTCTTCTCTGCCTCCCATTGAGTCCCAGCTGATGGGCTGGGTCTCCTTGGGTTGCCCTGCAAAGGAGAACAGAGCTGGAAAGCAGGTTAGTGGGGTGGGATGGGAAGGGGGATTTTGCAGTATATCCTTCCCCTGCCACGCCCACCAAGCCACACCCACTGAACCGGGAGTTTAAAAAAAAATCGAGTCCCGCCACTGGCTCAATTGTGGTTGTAAACTGAGGACGACCTGTGCATGGAAGCAAAAACTCTGCACTGGTGCAGCCCAAGTCAGACTCTGGTGGAGCCAGGAAAGAGGAATTGGGGAAGGAGGGATGGTTCAGGGGTAAATTCAGGGTTCAAGAACAGCTGCCAAGTTTGGATACTTGGGTTTATATTACACCAAGGCCCTTATGGGCACCGAATGCCACTCGGCTGTGCAGCTGAGAGCGACCAATGGCTTATCGCCCAGTTTCTGGCAATGCTACACTCCTGTGTTTATTATTACAATCTTGATAAGGTGCTCTTCGTGTAAACATGGAAGTGGAATGGCTGCAGAGGTGACCTTCTGGGTTCTTGGGTGGGGGGTGGGGGTTAGGTCTCCTCCCTCTCCTCCTCTTCCTCCTCCTCTCCTCTCTTCGAGTTTGCCATGTCCTGTTTTCCTTGGGAATGCCCAGGCTTTGGTCTCGACCCCTTTCCCTCTTGGGTGTAAGAGACACACCTTTCGGCATCAGGTACACAAGGCTGTTTATACAGAAGCATCGCGTGCCAAAATCTTGGCTCCTGGCCGAGTCAGGGCTCCGGTTCTACCAGGCCCACCGTGCCCTCTCCTGACCTCGGCCCCACGTCACGTCTTCAAAGTAGCCAAGGCACGAGACAGCTCCCACCCACGCCAAGGTCAAAAATCAAGGGCCGTGTATGCGATTCCAGAGGGGGCATTGGCACTTTTGCAAGCCAGACTCGGCTGAAAGGAGGGGAAACCTCCAGAGTGAAAGCTCTGAGCCACAGATTTCCATGCCCACAGATGCCCTGTCAGCACCCTTTTGGCTTGGCGGGGTGTCGTAGAATGACTGTCATGGAAGAAAGTGCAGGTTCTGTCAATGGCTGGAGAATAAAAAATGGAAATTAGAAAAAAATTACAGAAGGCTAGCGAAAAATAGTAACACGTGAATAAGAATCAAATATGTTAAGAAGGAGATTGTTATGATAATTAGATACGTTATGTGTAGTGGTATGAAGTAAGAATAGAGTACTGATATAGTAATGAATATGTATGACTTGTAATGCTCATTGCACAAGATATTTGTACCCAGAAAACACACTGTTTAAACGGATGACAGATTGCTTGCATAAAATAAAATTTTAAAAAACTAAAAAAGAAGAAGAAAGCATAGGTAGGATCTATAGGTATAGGTGCCTTGGGTGCAATCCCAAAATAGCTGGAACCAGGCTCCCTAGCAGAA